TTCCCCAAATTGCCAAAGCAGCGCGTTTCACTCTAGTGAGCTTTATATTCCTCTTCTACTCGTTTGGCTTCCAGATAGACGAGCCCGAGTAGCGCCTTCTCAGTCTGACGTGGTTTTCAGACGTATGGTGTGAGCAAGTAGATCGCATCAGAACATTGGGTCACACAGTGTGAGAAAAACAAACATCGTGAGCCGTGAACTTTTAAACCCTGCGGTTGCGTCGTCCAGTGTGAGCTGTAGCTGCAAGCAACAATTGCATTTGCCTATACAGCCTAGGCCACAGCTGGCCCTGGCCCCCTGGGTGGGGTAATATAATATATGCTGTACAGCATCTGTTGCTGCTTACTGCCATACAGCTGGCTGAAAAAAGACACTTATTACACCTTTCAATCTCTTGCAAGAATGAAAAACTTGGCTGTTTGAATATACAACATTTCTGGTAATGGTAAACACAGATAGTCATGGTTGGTATGTTGGCTGCAGGCTGCTGATAGATATCCAGTCTAAATAACCAGTTAGCATTGAATCTATGCCACTTTACTCCAATGCCTTAAGCATTTAAACATGGATGATAAAGAGATCTTTAGTTAAGCTGGTGGGAAATGGTCTGTCCCCAAATAAAGCTGTGTATGTTAGAAAAACAAAAGATTAAATAATATGAGCAATCTTGCTTGAAAGCAGCCCATATTAACCACGCTTAGACTTAACAGGCCTTATCTCATCTGGTCCACTGGTTCATTTTTCTTCCGTATGCATGTCCCCCAGAGGCATCTCGACAGTATAATGCATTTAGATTGGTTTGTATTTGCTATGTTGGGCTTTTAATTGTTTGGCATTGTGGAATTTTTAATTAGGGAAGGAAGTACAGTCACGTGCTCGGCTGTCAAAATGCATTCATTTATCTGTTTGCTTATTTAATGAAAAGCCCCACAGTATGGTCACTGGAAGCTCTAATGCTGCTGGATTACTCAAATATCAGAAAACAACGCTTTATAAATGTGAAAACTGGTGTCGCAGTAAAGCATTGAATACATTACCTAAGAATGACAATAAGGTCTGAAAAATGTGAACCATAAAGATAAAACAGGGATTGCTGCAGTTGATCACAACTTAGACCTCCACCTCTTTTTTTTTGTTGTTGTTTTAGCATTTTGTTGTTCTTTGTTTATGTTTAATATTGTTCTGCCATTTTTGTTGACAATCAACTCTTGTTATTTGCGTCATGATATCATGTTTTTTCTTTGTTTTTCTCTTTTCTGTACCTGGATTTATTTCTCGCAGATTTATTTTTTATTTTTTTCACTCTAGTTTTGTTTTTGATAGTTCTTTCTTTGCTAAAAATGTTTTTAGAGGGAACAGGGATCTGCTTACCTTGACTACCTCGTTGGATGGTGGAAGAAATACTTTGAAGACCTTTCCTGGCAGAAGCAGAGACTGGATGCTCAGGCTGGAGTCACAGAGGTGTTCCAAAAACTCTTTGGACCACCTCTTTGGGGGTGGATGAGATCACCCTGAGTACCTCAGGTCTCTGCATGTTGTTGGGCTGTTGTGGCGGAAATGTCTTTTCAACACTTCATGGTTGGGAAAGAAGCTGTGCACAAATGTGCACAAAACAATGTAAATATATAGCTAAGTTCCAAAAGGCAAACTTTTGCAATTGTGGTATTTCGATTAAAAAACAAACAGAATTCAAATTGCTTGTGTTGGGATCTGGAGATTCTCCACCTTCTCCAGCAGAGTGCGCCGTGGATCCTCTTGGGCTGGAGCCCTCCAGCACAGCTGACGCTCATCAGCTCATCAGGAGACCGGCCTTTATAAGCAGCTGCCAGACCTTGCTTCGACGCCGCAGTGTTAGCCAAGTTTGGTTAGCAAACCTGAGTCTCTGAATTTACTAATCGTTATCTTCCTAGAGAAACCTTATGCTAATTGCCTCTGTCTTCTCGCTCCTAGGAAACCAGTCTCTCGAGAGAAGCTCTGGATGAGCTTAACCTG